CCGGATTATAATACTTGCCACTCTTTTGGCCATGGGCTTTCATGGAGGTGTTTTTGTGATCATCGTCGGCAATATTCTCAGACGCGATGTATCCTATCAAGCTTCAGACGCAAAATATTTATCAACAATAAACTCTGTATCTGACAGTCTTCATGTGGGCCCCTGACAACTTGTACTCGGGGAGACCTAAATTACATTGTTTAGTATTTTTATGTTTGACAATCATACAATAAATTCTGAGCCGGCCAGATCAGAATGTATTGCTAACTCACACAGATGAGAAAGTATCACCAACTCACACAGATGAGAATGTATTGCTAACTCACACAGATGAGAATGTCTTGTCAACTCACACAGATGAGAATGTATTGTCAACTGACACGGATGAGAATGTATTGCCAACTCACACAGATGAGAATGTATTGCCAACTCACACAGATGAGAATGTATTGCCAACTCACACAGATGAGAATGTATTACCAACTCACACAGATGAGAATGCATTACCAACTCACACAGATGATAATGTATTACCAACTCACACGGATGAGAATGCATTACCAACTCACACAGATGAGAATGTATTACCAACTCTCTCAGATGAGAATGTATTGTCAACTCACACAGATGAGAATGTATTGTCAACTCACACAGATGAGAATGTATTGCCAACTCACACAGATGAGAAAGTATTACCAACTCATACAGATAAGAATGTATTACCAACTCACAAAGATGAGAATGTATTGCCAACTCACACAGATGAGAATGTATTGCCAACTCACGCAGATGAGAATGTATTACCAACTCTCTCAGATGAGAATGTATTGTCAACTCACACAGATGAGAATGTATTGCCATCTCACACAGATGAGAATGTATTGCCAACTCACACAGATGAGAATGTATTGCCAACTCATACAGATGAGAATGTATGACCAACTCTCTCAGATGAGAATGTATTGCCAACTCACACAGATGAGAAAGTATTACCAACTCATACAGATGAGAATGTATTGCAAACTCACACGGATAAGAATGTATTACCAACTCACAAAGATGAGAATGTATTGCCAACTCACACGGATGAGAATATATTGCCTACTCACACAGATGAGAATGTATTACCAACTCTCACAGATGAGAATGTATTACCAACTCTCTCAGATGAGAATGTATTACCAACTCACACAGATGAGAATGTATTACCAACTCTCTCAGATGAGAATGTATTACCAACTCACACAGATGAGAATGTATTACCAACTCACACAGATGAGAATGTATTGCCAACTCACACAGATGAGAATGTATTGCCAACTCACGCAGATGAGAATGTATTACCAACTCTCTCAGATGAGAATGTATTGCCAACTCACACAGATGAGATGTATTGCCAACTCCACACAGAAGAGAATGTATTACCAACT